TCTATCTATCTATCTATCTATCTATCTATCTATCTATCTATCTATCTATCTATCTATCTATCTATCTATCTATCATCAGTAGTTTCCCTACCTGGCACATCGGGCTCTGGGACACTCTCCAGCTGGTATTGCAGGCTTCCCAAAGCTCTTTGCTTGGAGCTCAGCTGGACACGCAGGTAAGCCAGCATCTTCTTCAGCTCCACCAGGTGGAAGAGGAGCTGTTCAGGAGCCTAAAAGGGGAAGGGATTAAGAAAGCAGAGAAAGAACACTCACAGATACGATTTAAAACAATCAGAGCAGGGGTGTCAAACTCAACCCGGGTTTGGCCTGCAATGTGGTTGAACCCGGCCCACAGGGCCGTCCTCGTCTACCCAATGCAAAGAGGAAATATTGGGTCAGTGGGGCTTTGGCCTGGCCTACCCAGTGCAAGAAGGCCAGCGTAGCTTCGGCCCAGTCTACCCAACGCGAAGAGGAAACATGCCCACGGTTTGGGGAGTGGCGCCAAGCTGGCCGCGCCCACCCAGTTGGCCACGCCTGCCCGGCCCCCATGTGGCCAACCACTGCCCTGATGCGGCCCTCTATGAGTTTGACATCCCTGGATCAGAAGAACGTGAAAAAGGTGCCCCAGACCAGTCTCAAGTGGAACCCAATTCAAGAGGCAGAGGTGACATTCTCCGCTTGGGGGAAAAAAAAAGAAATTAATGCAACATTATAGGCTTCCAGTACATCAATCGCCTTGACAGAAAAGATTTCGTGACTGTAGTTCAGAGCAAGCAACCTGAAGCCTGGTGAGACTTGAACTGCCAAATTGCAGGCAGCCGGCGGTCAGCAGAAGTAGCCTGCAGTACTGCACTCTCACCACTGCGCCATTTCTTCACGTGCTTCTTGCTTTATTCCCCTTTATTTCTCCCCTTTCCCAAAGTTTCCCCTTATTCCTTAATGACTTATGAAGGGAGGGTGAAGAGAAGAGTCTCTAAAACAATCCAAATGGATTTCCTCGGTCTCATCTTCGACAATGAATCCAGCAAATTCATCTTCATCTGGTCTAGAGAGGCGCACCCTACCTTATAAAGGGGAAAGCTAACTCCGTTGCATACGTTGAGAAAGGCCCGGTTTTCAGAAGGTGCCGTCCGGCTTAAGCGATGAATGGAAAGTTTGTGGGCTGGGATGTGAGACCTGGAAGACAACGGCAAAAAGAAGGGGTTTGTTCTCCCTACCCCGTTGCAATTGAACCTACATCGCACTGACCATCGTTAAGTCACGCTTAATCCTCCAGGCATCAGTGGTGGGATCCTACCGGCTTACCAACCGGCTCGGGGATCACGCACTTTGCGCGCATGCTTCTCACGTGCGCACCTGCCTGACCTGCGTGGGGCGCGCATGCACAGTTTGGAGACAACTTGCCTTCCACATTACTGCTGGGGAGGAAAACAGCTGAGGTGCAGCAATCCACTCTCAGCTGAGAAGATATAAGTCAGTAAAGAGCAGAGACAGGCGGGTGGGCTCACTTGATTGTCCCTCCAGGGGTGGGTTCCGGCTTCTTCTACTGCCGGTTTGCTTAGGGACGAGCTTTGGGCGGGCACGCACTATGCGTGCACGCGCAGTAGTAAAAAACCTGCTTCTGCACATGCACAGAAGCAAAAGACAAGATGGTGGCGCCCACACCGCTAGAACCAGTTTGGGGGCGTGGCCGGCCGAATTACTGCCTACTCAGCCGGAAACGGTAAGAACCCACCTCTGGTTCACTCCCAGCTGATGGTTGGAGCTACCGGTTCGCCCGAACTGGTCTGAACCGGTAGAATCCCACCCCTGTCATGCATGAAAAGAAAAATCAAGTCTATTTTCTTTTTGAAAAAAAAAATCTGGGGCCAACAATGCTCCTGAAATTTTGTCTCCGGGAAAGGCAAGTGCCAAGAAAGGTTAAAAATGATATTCAGTAAACCTCATTTGTAGGAAATGACCCTCAGGAGAAGATTTCATTTCATTTTTCATTTCATTTTATTTGTCTTATATGCCGCCCACTCCCGGAGGACTCCGGGCGGCTCACAGCAGACAAGGGAAAGGGGATAAATAGACAAGACAACACTTTTTAAAAAAAGGCGCAACAT